ACTACTATTATTATTATCTATATACTATATTGCTATATTATTGCCCATATCATTAAACAAGTTAAACAAAACATCTTTCATTTAATGACTGGGCTGACTCCTTTTCTAGACTTGAGGCAACTTGGTAACTTCGGGTTGCACAAAAAAATAAATCCACAAGAACACCACTGAGTCATATCTTCACTTGGGCTTAAACTTTTCACCAAAAGTTTACTCAAGTGCTGTATTTAAGTACAAATTTGAGATAAGATTTTCCATTAAAAGACATTATATAAGCGGTTCCCAACCTTTTTGGTTTGTAACCTCTTACAAAGAGCAGTGTTTACTTGGGTCAAGAGGTCACGTTCCAGATATGGGACGCTATTTGATGAGATATGTCTGTTGTAAACTTCTCACATGGTTTCATTTAATTAACTGTTATATGGTTCATTGATCTGATTGATTGAGGTTCGCTGGTGATAGATGGTTCATCTAACCACCTTTTTGAAAGTGCCTGCCATTTTCCAAACAGTTTCCAACGACAAATTCCCAGATGGTTCTGTGTAAGAAACCATTGGACGCACTTAGTTTAAATCAAAAGATGTAAAATGATTCAATATTTCACGAAAAAGCAAAGATTAGAAGAAAAAAAAGGCCCAAAAACTAAAATTTAATGTTAAGTTACCTACCAGACTATTTCTTGGCTTGCCCCTATAAAAATTCAAACTTTAGTTTTTACAGTTTGATTTTCTAACATGAAATCAGTGAGTCCTTCACACAATAAATGCTGGGAGGCAATCTTGGCTACCAACTTTGATATGCTTAATGCAGAATCAATAAGCAACCAGCAATGTTTAATAATAACAATCTGACACCGATGGATAGACAGCAGCAGCCAAACAATACCACTGAGATTACTGGCCACCAGCTACTGTAATGGTAACATGAAAACAGTCTCTCTTTCTTCTCTTATTACTTCTCTTTACTCACCACAGAAAGATAGAGTTTGTGTGTGTGTGTGTGTGTGTGTGTGTGTGTGTGTGTGTGTGTGTGTGTGTGTGTGTGTGTGTGTGTGTGTGTGTGTGTGTGGGTGGGGGGGGAGCAAAAGACGACCGAGAGCAAGAGTAAGAGTGTGTATGTATGTGTGTGAGTGTGTGTGTGTGAGATAGAGAGGTAGTTGTGAGGAGGGAACGGGAATAAAAATAGAACAACAGAAGTACAATGCCTTAACAATTAATAACAAATGCAACATGCTGTATCAATATCATTAGGATTATGATGTTGTGTTGTTGTTATTACTGTTGATAAACATTTTAAACACCACCAGTGACTTGTTCCCTCGTCTGGTTTACACCCACTCGTCTCACAGGTTAGATCCCTGACGTCATCCACTGTACACTTTGAAATTATAAAAATGAATAGAGAGTTTATTTTATAATCAAGTCTAGTAAATGCAACATCACATTGCTGTAACACTTAATTGGATTTCACTCATAATTATCTCCTATAATGTCAGGGTTATAGCTGAGATGCTTTGTATGTTAATCCAGGTCTCTGCACTACATACCAAAGAAATCAACTACAGCTGATTTAACATTGTTATTCAAGTCCATGTTATTTATATAGCCTCAAATTTACAATTTCCACAGCATATTTTATTCAACAGAATTACCAGCATTTTAAACTTTCAGCGTTGCTACAAGTCGAGCTACCATGTGATGAGAAAGCAAACTGCTAGGGAAGATGAGGAAACATGCCTATTACACATGCTGTTTTTCTTTGCTCTGCACTGCCTGGTTGTTCTGGGCTCTGGTTATATTCTGTCACATTAATGTTGGGATAGAGGATATGTTGACAGAGAGAGGACACTGCACATTGAGTCTGTAGGGCTTTTCTAGGGCTGGTGGCATCGGGACATGAAGACAAGTGTGTATTTGTGTGTATGTGCGTGTATAGAAGGAGAGGGTTGCCTGTGGAGCGGAGCATGTGGATGCCCACCCACTCAGCAGCCTCGCGGCCCTCGTCATTTCGCATCAATCCACAGCCCCTCAATATAAATAGGACAGGCGTCCTAAAGCTATGCAATACTAAGAGAGGCGACGGCATTATGCATTGACCCTGGACCCCTCAGCTTGAAATATGACTACGCCAGCCTATTGTAATGGCAGTTTCCCTCTAACTTACACTACACTGTTAACAGGACACTATTTTGGCTGGATACATGAAATGAATGTACTTTACTTTTTTGTACTGGCTACAAAAATGCAAGGCAAGTGAGCGCTAACGGACGTCAACGAAACTCAGACTTTGGCAATCTACTACTAATTTTAAATTTGTATATATGGATTTCCAAGAGCTTATTACAGTTTCTTGGTTTCCTCAGCTGTTAGCAGAGCTGTCGCACAATGTATCCAAGTAATTACATCACAGCATTGAGCTGCACATTCATTTCCATTGTGGGACATTGATGTCCATCAGTACCTCAAACAACAAGCGAAGCACGTTGGAAAATAATGTTACTTTTTGTCATTTTTTCGAACGAGGTACTCAGTTCATTGATAATACGCAACTGTAACACAGTCTGTCTCTTTGGTCGAATTGAAATAATCAGCAAAAGACTATAAGCACAAATGTAGGAAGTGCTGAGCATGGTGCACCAGCTTACTGGTATGATTTCACAATTGTTTAAGGGTGTTTGATGAAAAGTTAGTTCGAATTTTGCCTGTAGAAAGTTAAAAAAAAGTGAGCTAAATATGTGAGCAAATGTATCTGAGCTGTAAGGAATTGAAGATGGTGCACTAAAATAGAGAGTACAGTTCCAAACGGTAGCTACCCTGTGGCGTCACAGAAGTTTCACACTTCATTACTGCAAGGCCAGCGACGTGTGAAGCCATTATGTAGGAGCAGTGGAAAGGGGTGTGTGTGTTGGGGGTATAAGGGGTGTGGGGTCTGTGTGTGTGTGTGTGTGTGTGTGTGTGTGTGTGTGTGTCTGTGGGGGGGGTAACTAATAACCCCGCTTGCTCAAAGTGCTTTCTGGAAGCAGGATCAAGCCATCCGCATGGAAACATTGTTTAATATATTCGAACAGCTGGGAGGTGTTGTCTGTTGTCCCAGTGTCAAATGAAAGAGGACGAACAAACAGCTGGCAGGGCATTTTCTTGCTCTACAGCTCTGCTTACAACTTTACTTCAACAAACGAGTCTGGTGCACATGCATGGAGCAATTTGCAATGAATCACATACTAAATAAGCTCCCAACTACTGTCATCATGTGACTAAATCCAAGACTCAGCTGTATCCTCTGTCTCTACCAGGAGACGAGTAGACAAATCTGTGTCCTCTACTTCCACCCAGAGGCCGAAAAGCAGAATGTCTCACGTGTTTATGCTGTTCTCAACACATCTGTATTTCATCTGTGCATCCATTTGCACAGGCAAGAACCCCAGTAATGCAAATAATCAATACAATTCAATAATAAATATCAACTCCTCATTCTAATGTCTCATTCAACCTCAGTGCCAGTAATGCATCGCAACAACCTCCTCAAAGGTTCACAATCATACAAATGAATCATCAAAGGAGTCTTCCTCTTACTTACAGAGTGGAAACAAATAGTTTTCAGTATTTTTGCTATGCTGTGATAATGACTATGTTGTGCCAAAGGTTGTTTCACTGCCAGCTGCCCACTGAATTTAAAGAATAGCTGATTATTTTGAAATCAGCATTTCAATTAGACTAGCACTGGCATGCCTACAAGTGAGTGCATGAGTACTTCTGTACACTGTGGGACAATCGAACATTAATTTTCAATCAAGAACTTTGGGATATGTGGCAGTATCCCAGGGCACTTACTTATGTGACTGCCAACGCTGAGCATTTAGCACTGATTTAAATTTTGGCTGCTGAAATTAATTCAACAAGCCAGGCTAGCAGCATGAAAAAGTTATCACAACCATTTTCATTCAAATGGCCGGTTGACAAGACCCGTGTTCATAGACTACAAGCTGTAATTAAGCTTTTAGGTGCAACTCATGCACTTTAGTTCTTAGATCTGGGGGCGGATATACCAGCTACCTGTAAGGACATCACAGTAGAGACGTGGGACGGATGCACCACACTGAGGGGTTTTTGTCTATTTGTTGAGGGCACATATTAGACATGAGGTAGATGGCCAGGAGCATTTGCAAAGCTAACATTACATTTCATCCTTCACAAATTCAGTAGTTCCAAATTTATATTAATTTGTTGTCTTTTTTTACTTCTTTATTAGTTAATAACATCTAGTTTTGAATGTTATTTGGCATCGAGTAAAGGCTATAAACGTTTTGGCAGAGTGGTGATAAGATTACAGTTGAGGAAATTTAACTCAACCCAACCCTTACTGGACTTACCTGATCACCACCTGCAGAGGGAGTGTGAGCTACTCCTTCAGGCCACAGACACAGAGTTTCTGCTCAGAGGACAAAGAGATAAAAGTCTCATTTGTGCAGTTAGTAGTTTTAATTTTCCTGTGATATCACTTTATGTATTTGGGATTCAGATGTTTTTATGCTGTCTTCATACATCTTCCTACTGTTTGTTCCTGTAATCTGTTTGTCATTTTTTATGATGAATGCATTCGTATGCCTGGCTGCAACCAATTTTTCCCTTTTTGAAGCGTCCCAGTGTTTGGAATTACTTTGAATGACTTTTTACAAGAAAAATAAATTGTGTTGCATAAATACATTAAACTGAGGCAATTATTGTATGAAATAATGTTTCAGAAATTCCAGAAACTAAGAAAAACTGTAAACTGACTCGGCCACACAAAAAAAGCTTCACTTCACTTTTTTGTTAGCACATGACAACTACAAATAGTCAACTCATAAACTTTTACATGTATATTAGCTTATAATAATATGCCTGCCAACATTATTCTGTTACCTGGATTTATAAACTCGAACGCATAAGCTGAAATATCAATGAAGTGCATTTTCCCACCTCCTTTTTTTGAACAGGCAATAACACAGGACAGCCGTGCGTCACCGTAAGACCCCAAAGGGCCAAGATGGCTGCGCCCGTGACAGACGCCGGGGAGTTTGAAAGCTGGCTGAATGATCGTCTAGACTCGTTGGAAGTGGACCGTGAGGTGTACGGGGCCTACATTTTAGGGGTCCTGCAAGAAGAGGAGAGCGCCGAGGAGAAAGAAGATGCGCTTCAGGGGATTTTATCCGCCTTTCTGGTGAATATCTACAGCGGCGTGTCCCGCTCAGCCACCGGGGCGGTGTGTGTGTGTGTGTGTGTGTGTGTGTGTGTGTGTGTGTGTGTGTGTGTGTGTGTGTGTGTGTGTGTGTGTGTGTGTGTGTGTGTCTGTCTGTCTGTCTGTCTGTCTGTCTGTCTGTCGGTGTGTGTGTCTGTGTCTGTCTGTCTGTGTGTGTGTGTGTGTGTGTGTCTGTGTGTCTGTGTGTCTGTGTGTGTGTCTGTCTGTCTGTCTGTGTGTGTGTCTGTCTGTCTGTCTGTGTGTGTGTGTGTGTGTGTGTGTGTGTGTGTGTGTCTGTCTGTGTGTGTGTCTCTGTGTCTCTGTGTCTGTCTGTCTGTCTGTCGGTGTGTGTGTCTTGTGTGTGTGTGTGTGTGTGTGTGTGTGTGTCTGTGTGTGTGTGTGTGTCTGTGTCTGTCTGTCTGTCTGTCTGTCTGTCTGTGTGTCTGTGTCTGTCTGTGTCTGTCTGTGTGTGTCTCTGTGTCTGTCTGTCGGTGTCTGTTCTGTTGTGTGTGTGTGTGTGTGTGTGTGTGTGTGTGTGTGTGTGTGTTTCTGTGTGTCTGTGTGTGTGTCTCTGTGTGTCTGTGTGTGTGTGTCTGTCTGTCTGTGTCTGTCTGTCTGTCTGTGTGTGTGTGTGTGTGTGTGTGTGTGTGTGTGTGTGTGTGTGTGTGTGTGTGTGTGGGACGGTACCCAGTGAGAGCGCTGACATCAGCTGTCACTTGTGGAGGGATATTTTGGGCGTTAGACTCAGCGTAGTGTTTCTTAAACTAAGGTCCAGACGACAGGCAGTAAATGTGGGCTGCTCGATTCCTGCCACGCCAAATCCCATTCAGAAATCTGTGACCCAGTGCCTTATAAATACAGTTCCTGAAGGGGTTCGGATCCACGGTGCTGTTTGCTCAAGATACAGCTGCCATAATGAGCTTTGACATACCTGTCAGTTTACCAGCTTTTAGCCTGTTATTAGTCTAACAGGGAATTACTGCTCACAGGAGTCACATTGGACTGAAACTGTGTATGTGCTGTTTTCATATGACTGCCTCTGGATCAGCCTCTGGTACACAAACCACATATTGGATCACTTCATGCACTGGCTGTGAATGAATCCAGTGGGTGCTTGTTGTGGCCCATCTCATACTAACAAGCTGTGTTGATGCAATACTTCCCTGGTTGCGTTGTTGGCTGCTGAGTATGTAAAGTTTGAATGGTATGTAACCTTTACTTGTGGTCTGTGTGCAGGATGAGGACTCTGTGGAAGATGTCTGCAAACAGATCATCATGCAGTGGACAGATTTCTGCAACCGTTCAGCAGCCAAAAGAAACGCTGATGGTATTTATGTAACTTTGATTCATCCACATTCTCAATTTCTTTCAAATAGTTATATAATATAGTTCATCTAAAAAGTTTTTTTTTTTCTCAAGGTAAAATAAATAAAAATGGATCTACTCTTGGGGAATAAGTAATAAGAAATTATAGTATTTATTTTTATTTTTTATAAAGTATTTTTAAAAGGCAACAGGCTCATCAGCTCTTTTAAATCTTGACTAAACAGCAAAGACAGCTTGCTTCTGAGTCTGTAATCAATACCAGTTAAACATACAGAGGGATTCGCTCTCTGAGTTTGAAATTGTTTGCTTTGAGTTTGGAGCAGGGTGCAAGACACTTTTGTCTCAGGGAGAGAGATTAACATTTCCTGAAAAAAGTAAACAAAAACAGTTCATGAGACTACAGAAACTTTTTGAGGAAGTGCTTATGCCAAGAAGTAATTTCCACTGAGTTTGTTTTGTTAGTGTCATTACCGGAAAGAGATTGTTTACTGTGTACATAACCGTAAGTATGTGTATACTGTCTGAAGCCTCAAACTCAGATGGCTGCCCTTGTGGCTTCTTCTGTTAATGTACATTCATATTGACAGTGAAAAGCAGGTACTTTTGCTTTGTGTTATGTTTTTTATTTATAGTTTTGCTGTGTTCTGTCACTCCTTGTCTGTAGCTGAGGTCCAGGCCATCGCCAGTATGATAGAAAAACAAGCTCAGATTGTGGTGAAACACAAAGAGGTGTCCGAGGAGTCGAAGAAAAGGAAAGAAGCCCTCCTCGCTCAATACGGCAACATAACAGACGATGAGGAATATCCTTTCATTTTTAAACTGTGCCGACAAAAATGTTTGAACGGTCCGTATGTTTCACTTAAGTTACCAATGTTTCTTTGACCATGCAGAGAACGTCAAATATTTTATGTCACCATCCAATGAATGTTACCTTCAGACGCATTCAGTCATCATCCTTAAGATGTTAGTTCTTTCCTTGACAAAAGCACTGAAGCTGAAGAAGAGGAGCCACCAAGTGGAAATAACTCTGCTGGAAATGATAAATGTATCCTTTCTAAAAGCCTAATGATCAGAGGCAATTTAAAAATCACATGGAATTCAGTAACTTACAGCAGTACGAATGGATAATGCAATAGTTGCATTACCCTGAATGCACGATATACTGCTCCTATCATTTACACCTCCATAGTGGTAACATGTAGGAATGATAAATTAGGAGAGTACTTTTGCTTTCATCCAGCTGTCCTTTACTGAGTGTGTCAGCCCTGTTTAAGAACACCAACGTGGAAGAGGTGCTGTGCAGACAAAAGCAAAAGCGTGACCAGGCTCGTGAGGATGCACAGAAGAAGAAGGAAGGGGACAAGATGCAGCGAGAGAAGGACAAACTAGCCAAACAAGACAGGAAAGAGAAGGAGAAGAAGCGTACACAAAAAGGTGAACGCAAAAGATAAAACCGAGAGACAAGACACTAACTTTGTATGTGGAAAAAGATTTTGTAACGAGACAAAAATGAAAAACAAGTCATTGCCTCTTTTTAGCTGAACCTCATTGGCACCTTCTGTGTGTGAACATGTGTTCATCACCCTCCTTGTTCATTTCTTTCTGCAACTCTTTATATGTCTAAAGAACAATGTACTGGAGGTTGTGCAGGTCCAAAATCAATATTTCTGTTTTTCTTGGCTACTGATAGGAGCAGATACAAAAAGACGTTGTCTCTGACAGACAGATTTATGTCATTTATCAAAAAGTATTGGCAGTAAGTCTCTGCCAACGTTGTTTCGGCGAGTGTGAAACATGCTTCAGTTAAGCTTTGACACGGTAACCGCTGAAATGAATGAAGTTTACACCTTAAACACAGTTGATCACAGTAAATGCTTGTAAAGCAACTTGGTCCACAGAGTTTCTGCTATTATCCTGTGTGCCACTATCGTTCAAATGCCTTTTTATTTCTGCACAACCTCCAAGTAAAGTCCAGTGTTCACGTCAAACCTTTGCTGTCATTTCAATACTTGAGGTTTTAGTTTTTACAGTCTATGCATTTTGTCTGAGAATGAGAACAAAGGAGTGGTTGCTAAATTATACCTCAAATATATCATGTACCATAATTTGAATGTTTATAATGAGGTTCATCATCTTTATAAATTAATAAAAAAAAAACATTTTCAGCTGTTTGGATTGCTTTATTTTTCATCTTTTTTTTTTTTACAGAACAAGTAACAAGAAAAAAACCACCAACATGAACTTTAAAATGAACAACTAAGCTCATATTCACAAAGCATATTCACAGGAGTACTACAGAGTGATGCTTCTAGAGAAGAGTTACTTGACTTACCCCTCCATTACAAAAATGGATACAAGCTTTGGTCCCTAGCTGAATACTTGGTAACAATATCTGAAAATAATCTGTCAAAGTGTTTAAAATGCTGTTGTGTTAAGTTTCAGTATCTTTTGTTACAGGTCAAAAGTTTGACTAAACTGCAGATAAAACAGCTTTCTGATCACAGTGTTAACAGAAAAATTATAGAAGATTCAGAAATTAATTGCAACATTTCAGAAAACATTTTATAATTTAGCATTGTACATTTTAAACTACTGATTTAGAGCAACTCAAGATTAGCATTCAGAGAATTATTTAACTTGGCCATGTTATATTTCACTGATATGAATGATATTTGTTAATATTATATGTTTCTAATGGAAAATGTGATTAATACATTTAAATTTAAAATATTTAACTTTTTTCCAGAAGTTTGAGTGTCTTTGGCACAGTTCAAACTTAGAAAGGGCAGACATATACAATGTTTTTAAGGTTGCATAAGAAAAACAAGCTGGAACATTTTAGAAAACATTTAAATATTTAGCATGTTCATTTATAACTACTGCTCTTATGATTATATTATTACTTGGGAATACCCAGAACTGAGGTTCTATTACATTCCAATAAATAAGTAAAACAATGAAAAATTCACTGAAATCTTCCTCATAAATAGTGCCTTTAAATACAACAGTGATGGAGCAAGATTCACGTTAATTTGGAACTGACACTAATTAAATGAAATGAAGTTAAGATGAAGCAGGAAAAAAAAATTCCATTTCATGCCACTCCTACACAACAAAAAATAGCTGTCTGAAGCTTCTGGGTGCCAAGAAGTGCAGCCATCATCAAGCTTCAAACTGCTCATCTCATATTCTGCAGTGATCACTGTGTTGCAGGTAAAATGTCACTATACACTTGCAGGTAACATTTGTTTTTGTTTTTTACACCATGTTGCCTATGGGAAATTTATAATCGGGGCATTCTGGCGTGGTTTTTAATTTAATCAAGACCTATAACTCATGCTTGTTGCCTGCTGAATCATAACTTAAAAGAATATCCCTCAAATGGAGAGGGGCACCTCTCTGCGCCCGTGGCCTCCTTGTTAACATGATGGTCCTGCCCCTTGACAGGTTTTGGTAGTGTCATCTGGAGAGCACACCACAGGGCTGTGCGGAGCTTCCTCGTGGTAGCGGCAAGGTCCTTCAGAGCAATGACCAACAACAGGGTGTCTGTGACAGAACAAAAGTGAGTTAGCACCAGCAGCGTTTAAGAGAGAGGAACATATGCCTGCCACTGGAATACGAGTTACCTCTGTCCTCTGTGAAATGAGCTCTCTGCCGCTGGTGTTTGGACATGTTGGCAATCTCCTCCTTGCGTCTTGCTTGGGTGATGCAAATAGCCATATGATTCCTGTTCAGTGCTGTGTGGATGTTGATATGGAGGGGAGTGTTGTGCAGACACTCCATTCTATCCAGAAGACTTGCCACCTGCAACACACCAACATAAGGTTTGATCCCTTATATTCCCCCCTCAGTCTTGATATTCTATGTACATTACTACAACGTAACAGTGGCAATATTATCTATGCTTTATGCATGTGTGCTTTCTTTGTTAAATCAATAGTATTACAAAACAAGGCTGATATACCATATAAATGTCAAATCTTTATAAAAGAGTTTATAAAAAAAAGAGTTTAACTTTTAACTGAACTAAATTTTCAACCAAAACCGACAAATACAAAGCTGGATCATGTTAGCTTGCACACCCACTAGTGAGATGTTTGGACTGTTGAAAATTCTGGGAGAGCCACTGCACACAACAACGACCTAAGCAAAGATATGAACTCGGGACATTCTTACTTTGAAGACACGGTGCTTATTAATGAGCCATCACACAAACATAACTGTTTATTTATCAACAAAACATTTCAAATTTAACTGTTTCCTGTATTGTGGTCCTGGATACTATACTTTGTATGTAAGTATATTCAGGGTCTAGGCTGCATTGAGGAGAACCAGTTTTCTCTAGACAGAACTAATGGGTGTGCAAAATAAAGCTGCAAATATGACCTTCAGAACATAACAAGGCTGCTGTGACAGAATTCATCTGTAGATGGCAGTGTGGAAGCAAATTATTTAGGGGTCTCACCCTTGCTTGTTCTCTCATCTGATTAACAATGAGGTGATCGACTCTTGTGGGGTTTGGTGGAGTTTTGGGGAGGTTAGTGTTGGTCACTGCTGCAGTCCTTTTCCCGGCTAATTTCTTGGTAAGGATGGCCTCTGTCTAAAATAGAAAACGAGAGAAAACATGAACAAAAAAGGGTTATTATTCTTCCATTTATGTAAGTTTGTTTAATATTTTTTATTAACAAATGGCTGCAAATAAAACAAACTCTAGATAGCCAATACTATTAAATAAAAAATAAAAATGTACTGGCTGGGATACCAATCTTGAAAATAACCCTTGGACATCCTGTAACTAGACACAAACAAGATTTTGAAAACATACCCTTTTTCTCTCCTTCTCCAAAAGCCTCCACTGCTCGTAGCACTCATCCAGATAGACATACAGCTGGATCACAGGTCCTCCTTGATTCATCACCATTGACGTCATCATGGCGGAGGCCATGCCATGATAAGTGCTTTCTCCTCTGCGCGTCATCATGTCACTGACATACGTGTTGAAACCTGCAGACTCATTGGTTGACATCATATCACCAACGTGTATGCCAGGAGCACCGCTTTCATAGGGTAGTGTGGATCTGGAGCTGAAGTTAGAGTTGTTCATAGGCATGCTGGAGTATCTTCTGGGGTCATTTACAGGATACATGAGAGGCATGTGCTGCTGTGTATTCCCTGTACTGACCATGCTGTTTTCTCCATCAAATCTCTGAGACTGCATGCTCCCCAAGTGGTCAAAGTATGGGTTTTGTGAGAGGGCCTGTTTCTTATCTACCCCTCTCATGTTAGAGATGGTTAGGGGCCTCGTAGAGAAACCTTCTCCCAGGAAGCCAGACATGTGCATCCTCTTCTTTTCTTTCTGCATCTGTGGCTTGAACTTGTTTGGTATCTGGCCCTGCTGGATGTGATGCTTTGAATACTGGTTCATATTAATGGGGACTGAAGTGTTCTCTCTGTGCATGGTCATCTTGCTTTGGTACTGATTTGGGAGGTTGTAAGATGTAGAGAACTGCTTTGGTTGCTGGAAGTACTCTGTGTTTTGAGGGCTGAAACCAGGTAGTTCTTGAAAGGCATCACGCTTAAATGTTTGGTTCCTCGCTCCTCCATTTCTTTCCATTTGAACTGTCCCAAATTCACCCACCAGCTGTTTTTGGGACTGCATTGCAGGAGTACTTTGTGTTGATACTGCAGGACTGGTGATTTTCCATTGTTCAACCATGCTGTCTTCGTGGTGCAGGCCCACTGACTGCCTTTGCACATTTGGAAAGTCTACACGACATAAGCTATCATGCTCACCAGGCATGAACGACTGAAAACTGCTGACCAGTTGGTTAATGTCTTGTGGCACATACTGCTCATTACTGATGGGCTTTGCACTGCTCTGAATGTAGTGGTCCTCATAATAAGGATGAAAGCATGGGCTGTTCATTTCGCTTTGAGGCCTAAAGACATCACTGAGGTCAGGAAAACTATTCATAGGCAGATGATTTCCCCTGTCTTTATCAGCTGACGTGTTGTCATATTTGCTTTGTTGGGTCTGTGACTGGTAAATGTTTCCTATGTTGGGCATTGGTAGACCTGGTGGCAGTTTCTGAGGACGGAGGGTGTGGCTGTCCCTGTCTCTGTTAGGCAAATTAAAAAGCCACTGCTGATTGGCGGCCAGGCCATTGGACTGTTGACATAACTCTTCGAATTCTTTCTCCACCGACTGTTCCTGTGCTTTACTTAAAGCCTCACGGGATACATAGTTTGGATGAAAAGTGTTATGCTGCATTTTAGCCTCTGATTGAAAATACTGTAGCAGTTCTTCCCTCAATGTCTTCGGAGACCAGATGGGATTACATGTAGGCAGGTTCCTAAAAGAAGAATTGAGGACTTACTTTTTCATGTTAGCGTATATAAAGACAACGCAACATATATGCAATAAATAGATTAAAAACATTAAGATAGAAATTATTCTATATAATATTTTTGGTTGCTCAAATATGTGCTGTCACAATACATACTGTAATTTAAAGCCAATCCTACAATATGAAAGAACTTAAACCTTGACATACCCTTCACTGTAGTAGCTGTCCTTTGAATCCGCTTCTTCCAAAATATTTGACACTAGACCCTGAAGATCAGTCTCCCCGTCACAATCAGAGTTATCAGTGGGTTTCCTTTACCAAAAAGAAAACACGTTCCCTAAATTGCACTCCAACTTTTCTTTTTCTTTAATAACATTCATTTAACAGTATGGCTGACAACTTTGTTTTTCTTCCACAGTAAGACTTGCACCAAGTACATTTACCTACCTCTGAATAGCAAATCTAAAACCTATTTGAATTAGACAGCAGTGTGATTGCCTAACACAACTGCAGTACACTTAAGATAGTGCTACCATGAATAATCACACACTTATCCAGAACACAGTTAAAACTAAATAAATACCTGATTTTAGTGCCGTTCTGGGCACAATTGATGAGGCCATAAGGATCATCATGAGCATTGTGAGACCAGGGCACGTATGATGCTGTGTCCTGTTCATGCAGTGAAACACTGGGCATGGAAACGAAGGGCAATGTCATGCTACCATTGTTTGAACCACCGACATTAACGCCGGCCTGAAAGAAAGAAAAGCAATGTTAACAAATCTGAAGCTCACTGGAAAAAAAACCTTACTACTGTAT